CAGAGGTGAATGAAATAACATAGGTAAAGTTCTAGAATAAAAAGAGTTGGTGCTCTGTGTTCATGTCATGTTTATTATATATTATAAATGCTCTTTTATACCTACATTCCCACTATACTGCTTTCCCTGTTTCAGTTCTCAACATATAGATCTGTACACTCAAAAATAACACATGTTAGGAACATGAACAACTATATGTACACCAATATTCACAGCAGCATTACAATACCCAAGAGATAGAAGTAATCTAATTGTCTACCAATAGATGAATGAATAAAAAAAATGTGATACATATAATGGAATATTATTCAGCCTTATAAACAAAGGAAATTCTACCAGGTGTCATACTGTACACCTATAATCACAACCAATTGGGATGCTAAGGCAGGAGGATTGCAAGTTCAAGGCCTGCCTGGGCAACATAGTAAGACTCTGTCTCAAAAAGATTTAGGTCCAGGCGCAGTGGCGCACGCCTGTAATCCCAGTGACTCAGGAGGCTGAGGCAAGAGGATCATGAATTCAAAGCCAGCTTCAGCAAAAGTGAAGTGCTAAGCAACTCAGTGAGACACTGTCTCTAAATAAAATACAAAATAGGACTGGGGATGTGGCTCAGTGGTTGAGTGTCCATTTCAATCCTTAGTATCCCCCACCCACCACCAAAAAGTAGGGATTTAGTAGTGGTAGAGTGCCCCTAGGTTCAATCTCTAGTCCCGCAAAAAATGAATATGTACACACTAATGACATAGTATACCAAATCTGTGTCAAAATACTAATGACATAGTATACCAAATCTGTGTCAAAATTTTTCACCTGGCTAGCAGCAAGGTGAAAAAGCAGAAAGCTGGTAGACAGATATATAAGTGGTCTAGACTCTAAGGGGCTGAGGGATCAGCAGATGTGAAGTTAAGAGCGGCCTGTATGACTGGATTTTCAGAAAACTCATTTTAATCCTGGGCCTATTCTTTTAAAATCATCTGTTTCTTTCTTTTTCCAGTAACATCATGTTACTTCTAACAAGGATTCAGTTTCATAGCCTTTCCCTCAGTACCCTATCTAAAAAGAAACCCTCACTATTCTAAGGCAGTAATTTTCAACAATGGATAATTTTAGCCCTCTTCCCTGTTCCCAAAGACATTTGGCAATGTCTTGATATATTTTGGGGTTGTCACAACTGGGAGTGGGGCTAGAAGGGGTGCTACTAGCATGTAGTGGGTCTAAGCCAAGGATGTTGCTAATGACCCTACAATGTACAAAATAGCCTCCCACACACACACAAAAAAATAATGAACGCTAATAATACTGAAGTTGAGATATCCTATTCTAAGGCTTTATTAAGTTTCTTGATTTACAGTAGTAATGAGTCATAAGTTAAAATTTTTCTCCTTTTATGCCCTACTTTCTCTTTTCATTTATTTTGAGGAAACTGGATAAGGACTGGTAACACTTTGGTGAGAGGCTGCTTATGATGTTGTCATTCTCTTCACTTTAGGTAATCTTACCTGTGATACTTATTGAGCCTGGGTAAGAAGAAAAAGAGAGGGTGGTAGAACAGGACTTCTGGCTAAGGGGCCAGGGTCAGAGAAGGAAACAAAAAATCCAAATTGAAGACAAAAGAAGGCAGTGCCTATGCATACTATCTGGACTGAATACTTTTTTTTAATGGTCACACAGTCATCTATAAGTTTGACAGATATAATTTAGAGAACTTTATGAGGAAATATCTGTGTATTTATTTAAATAAGATTATAACCAAAAATTTAAAACCTAACTGAAAAATTAAATCACCTATTTTTCTACAACTCAACACACTACTTATAACTCAACCTATTATTTAGAATTACCTTAAACTTCTATTACATTTGAGGAGCAATAACCTAATGAGTGCATACTACTACTATCAGTAATAAGAACAAATACTTCTGTTTTTATTTTCCTCTTATATTAAATAGAAGCAGACCTGCTGTAGAAATATAACTCATTTGATATAATTTAGTTGTTTTGAGAAATCCACTAACATTGTTAGGCCCCTAGACCATGAGGGTAATTCATTATTTAGCTACATATTTAAATGGTGCCTTCTTACAAACACTGAGGAAAACGGTTCAAAAGCACATACTATAATTAAAAATATGCACACCCCATGACCCAGAAATTCCCCTCCTAGGTACATACCCACTCAAATAACTAAAAAGTGTATAAAAATGTTCTTCACTAGCACTATTCCTAATAGCCCAGAACTGGAAATTCCTCAAATGTTCATCAAAGACAGTATGGATAGAATGGATAGTAAATTTTGGATGTAATAAGAAATGGATAAATGGAACACTAAATGCAGCAAAGATAATGAAAGAACTACAAATATATGCAACTATATCGGTCAATGTCATTTTGGTAGGTTAAATAATAGCCTCCAAAGATGTCTAGATCCTAATCTCTAGAACCTGTGACTATCATTTAAAATGGTAAGAGACTTTGCACATGTAATCAAATTCAGAATTTTGAGATGGGAGGATTATTCTGAAATATCTGGAGGAGCCATAAATTCCTTTCAAGGTTAAAAAAAGTGTCATAAATGTAAGAGAGAAGAAAGATCTGACTATGTATGAGAAGATGATGTAGGAATAGCAGCAGACACATGGAAGAAGGGGCTATAATCCCAGTAATGGCAGTCATTAGAATCTGAAAAAAAGCATCAAAAAGGATTCTCCTCTCACAATCCTAAGGATCAACCTTGTGGATATCTTGATTTTGACCTAATGAAAGTCCTGATTTAGGACTTCTCATCTCTAGGACTGTTTGAGAACAAATTTGTGTTGCAGGCAAAACTAATCTGATTTTAAGTGAGAATAGTAGTTACTTCTAAGGAAGAAGAAGACAGTATTAAGGTAAGGGCCCGGGTGCTTTTAGGTTGTTCAAAATGTTCTGTGTCTACTTAATCTGAGGGCTGATGCTGAATGTATTTAACTTGTACAGACCTTTATTTGTGCACTCTCCAGTATGTATATAGGTATATGCAATTTTAAAAATTGGTGCCTTTTTCAATGCTTATCAATCTTACAATCTGCTGAAAAAGATAGATATTCAAGGGGATGGAAAAAAATCTTTACTAAACGACAATTTTATTTCTCAAAAACACTAAAGATTTTGTTTTTGTCTCCAAAGACTAAAAAGTTTTAATGACTGGCAACATATAACAGTGACTTTTAAAATGCTAAAAATAAAATACTGCTTAATTAGTTTTGTTATGCCTTGCTGTAAATTACAAAAACACAAGTAAAATCACATTTTCTGAAATAACAGTAAACAAACAAGAAATACACCAAATGACCAAAAAGTCTTTTGGGTCTAACATTCCTGAAACTAGTAAAAATAGTGATAGATATCTCCCTATAGATCATTAAATATAAAAACAATTTATAAAACACATCAGAATTTTATTGCTTGAAGAATACAGCATATGAAATCACAAGAATGTCAAAATGAAAAGTCATAGGCTTCAAACATATAATACATTATCAGATGCAGTAAAATATTAATTAACCTGAACTCTGCATCA